CAAATTGTTGGTACTATATAAATCCTATATATTAATAATAATACCATTTTTTTAGAGGATGAAGAATTAAATGGATGAATAATATTCGGTTCCATGCCCCTGTTTCAGTAGTCTTCAAGTAGTATGAAAAATTTATGAGAGTGTTACGTAGATCTTAAAACCTGCACTTTCACTAGGGAGCAAGTACTAAAACAAGTACAAAAAAATGCTATACACTTCATGCATGTCAGAAAGCTTTCCCCAGAAATGCAAAAGTTGTAATCCTTAGCACATGGTATAACATTTATATGTGCCTAGTTACTAAACTACCAAATACATCTGAGATTTATGTTAGATATTATTATACAAAATTTATAAAGCACCAACAGTTTGCTCAGCGCTTTACAATATAAAGGGAGACAATACAGTTCAATACAAGAGGGTTAGGAGGGCCCTGCTCCTTGGAGCTTACAATCTAAGAGATATAACTCCAAGCTGCCCCTTATTTGGAAGCCTGTCCCTTTTAGGAAAAAAAATCCTTCTGTCTCTCTTTCCATCTCAGTTGTCCCATATTTTTATCTTATGTGTAGACCTTTATCATTTACAGTACATTATATTATTTAAGGACCAAATGTATATTAGTACACTAAACATTTCATTCAACTCAAATGGTTGCATTTGTTGTTTTTAAAAGCCAGCAAGAAGATAAAGTAGTGATGTAAAAAGCACATATGGGTTTAAACAATTATATTTTTATTGTATAATAAAGTGCAGTGCTGCACTTTATTATACAATTTTTATGAGATTTGTTACCTTTACCCTTTGTGCTAGCAGCTTCTAGATATCAGTGCTTGCCATATACTTTGCAATTATTTTTTATGTATTAATTTTTTCTGGTCTGTGTAAATAGCAATGTTGCTATTTACAATGGTAAAACCATTGCTGTCACAGATTTACACAATGATGATATGTTCATACATGCACAATGACCTGTCTAGCAATCCCCCATTGCTATTGTTTTCCTTGGATAAGGCTTCACCAGGGGTGCTTATCTGTGCTCTTCCTCTTTCTTCTAAAAGACATTAAAGACCCGTGTATTTAGAGATCTTTCAGAAAAAAGGGTCTCTAGATGGTCAAATTACTTGCAGTCCTGAGTCAACCAGCATCAGATGTCTTCAGGTTGCTCAATATCAGTCATATTTACGCTGGACTATACAAAGCTGAAAACTAACCAACATAGCAAGATGTTCGTATACTCTTATGGCCACAATTATCAAGCCTGGAAGAGCCAATTTACTGTGCTTTAGAAATGTGCATGTTGCTGTTGTTTCTTGCACATTGTGCTCCACTTGTTTTGGGACACTGCAGCAAGCAGAGCCACTGAACAAATTAATGGAATAAAAAGATATTGGGAGGAGTGTCTGGTCATGTAACCTGTTAACCAGCATTAAAGAAGTACTAAAGACTAATTTTTTTTTTTACATTAATGCATTCACTAAGGTAAAAAAATGCCCCAGTACATGTGCTTTCCGACATTCCCTGACTCTTACCTGGTGTCTCTCTCACAGTTGTTGTGTCTTCTATTAGCTGCACCACTTCCTGAACCTCCTGGTTGAAGAGGGGAAAGATGAGGGTAGGCAAGTGATTGGCTCCTTCAGCTGTCTGTCCAGAGTTGGGAGGAGGGAACAGGGGCAAATCTTTTTGGGTGCTGTATGTGTTAATAGAAAATGCACCCATGGGTGTCTTCTTTGGAGCAGCTACCTAAAGGAGACATCTGCAAACAAGAGTAGGAGGCGGTGGCTGTGGGACCAATAGGAGCATTCAAGGCAGCAAGCCATGTACACATCTGGATGCCTTGGAAGAAAGGTTTCAAAAGTTAGCCTTAAGTACCACTTTAAGAAGGGAGAACTTCATGGGGCACTACAAGCTCCACACTGTGGCCTTCATTTTGTAAATGGCACCTAAAAGGCACATGATGGTATGGAGTATCACTGTTGTGTCCAGAAGAGAGCAGATATCTGTATCTGCTCTATGAACAACCTCCTGGATTTTCACAGCATATTCACACTAAAATAACCTATACTCAGATCCCAGTGAATCTATCAACGTGTTTTTGGAGGCCTAACGTGAATATACATGCTTGTGCCCATGTTAATTAAGCATAACCTCAGCACTTCTAAATAGCAAATGCTGGTAAAACAAGATATCTATGAAAAAAATAATGTCCTTGAGGGATATGGAGAAATATTTTAATGTGTAGTACATAAAGACAGCTCATAGTCTGCAAGAACATGATGCTTATCAGCTCTTGCAAAATGCACTTACAAATACAGAAAATCCAAACATGTACTGATGATATCCTTCATTATTGTGCAATACTATTTCACAAATGGTTATCAACATTTACAGTAATCGGCTTATGGAACTATGTGTACATTTATCCACCATTGTACACTGCTCATTTAGTTTGTATGTCTCAAAGATGCACCATTGGATTGGGTTGCATGTTCCCCAACACTTCTGAACTGTTAAAAAGCAAAACTCGGATTTTTACTTACAGAAAAAGATTGACAATAGCTTCAAACTGACAGGTAGCAGAACAGTAAAATTAGAAGCACAGCACGTGTTTGGCATTGGAGCCTTTGTACTCAGCTTGAGTCCACTAAATGCAAAAAAGGCCTCCAGGCAGCGTTACATAATGAGAAGAAAGTGGTCTTCAATCCACAGGTCTTAAACATGATTACGCAAATCTTGGGGGCAGCCACCTCCTGGGTTTGATCTCTCTAATGGTGGACTTTGATTTTATTATCAATTCATTTTGTGACTCAATCAAATAATCCAATCCACAAACAATCAAATAGCCATAACTTGCTTATCAATCAATTTAGACTCAAATTATGGTCACCACACACGTACATTTTTTCATCCGATTGTTGTGCGATGCAATCAGAATGATGGAATCAAACAATTGAATAGCCATAACTTGCCTTACAATTGACTTAAATTCGATTTCGATCAGATTCAATTAAACTTTTGAATGGCCAGGGCCTGGAAATTATCTATCATTTTGCATCAATCAATAGCACTGAGATACTTTGATCATAATTACGATGATATATTGACCGGTCAGATTATGAAATTACATGGTGACAACAGTAATGCAATTGATCACGCAAGTTACAATTGTATCTTAGCTATCAATCAAAATCCATTTCCCATGCGTGACAAATCGATCAACCGAGCTGTCAACTATGAATTAATTATTCTTATCAGAAGAGATAGATTGGAGAAGAAACCGATCATTTATCAAAACGCGTGTGGCCACCATTGGATCCGCTCCAATCAAACTGAGTCAATCTGCAGAAAGTTATTGATCATTTGTATCGATCGGAAACACTGAGATACTTTGTTCATGAACACACTCATATTTCATCAGATTATGAGTTTACATGGTGAAAACAAAGATGCAATCAATAGCTTATAGATTTAAATCCACTTCCATGTGTGTGGCATATCAGTTGGTTGGGTTGTCTATAAATCGATTATTTCTATTGCAAGAAATCAATCAGAATATAAATATTGATCATTTATTGAAGCATGTATGCCCCCTATAACACTAAGGCCCCATGTACACAGGACACTTCTGAACAATGGAAACTGACTGCTGGAAAATGTAGCTTAAAAAACATCTGTTTAGCCATGTTTGCATACCGTGTTTATGCACGTTTATGAGCATTTGCGTTTAGAAGCGTTTTTTAAAGATAACCTCAGGAGACCTTCCAAAATGCCCAGAATGCACTGAAAAACAGTAAAAAATTAAACATTTCAGACATTTTGAGAGAAATAGAGAGAGCAGAAGCAGAGAGAGCAGTATTTGTTGAGATTAGCTGTCTTTTTTTTTTTTTTTTTTCATGGTGTTTGGATGTGTTCCAGCTCATTTCTGTGCAGAAATTATTGCAGCAGTGTCTAACATATTTTCTTTCATGCAAAGCCTCAAAGTATGGTGCACCAGATCCATTTGAGTACCGGGAAAACGCTTTGCATGCATTTTTCATGATGAAAAAAGGCTCTGGACAGCATCTGGAAATGGAAGAGTTAAAAAAAAAATTTCAAACTCAAATGCTTAATAAACGCTGTTAGCCGCATTTAGCCGCTTTTACAAGCATTTGGCGTTTGAAACGCTGATAAAATCTACTCCTGAACGCAAGTTTTCTGCGTTCAAAAAAACGACTGTAAACAATTGTAAACGACTATGTGTACATGGACACATAGGAAAACATTAGGGTGAGTTCAGGGGCTGCTGAAAAAAATGCTGAACAGCTCCTAAACGTGAGTTTATCAGCTGCAGTGTACATGAGCCCTAAAACCTGGTTTCTCTGAATTTTAAGTATGGTGCCCATACATGTGTCCACCTTCTTGAAGCTTACAGGGACTGAAGTTCCAACCTTCAAGATCAGCTGAAAAAAAAAAACCCACCAGTATCAGTAAAGGAACAGCAGCACTGACCTCTGCCCTGATCCTTATTTTTAGTTGCTTGAGAAATGCAAATTTTTTTAACCAAGGTGATATCTTTATGTGCTGAACAGACACTGCAATTGTTTTCCCACCAACAATAGTGGCTTATCTGTTCTTGAAATTTACTATAGGATAAAATTTAGTTACCCATGGTACATTAAATGTAAGATTGTTATGGGTGACAATACCACTCTACTGAATGTCTAGAAAGATAAGAAGTTTATTTTATGTGCCACTGTTAAATTTTTCCTATCTCTGTTTCCTTTTATAAACCATTTAACTGAACCCTTTGTCACTCAACAAAACTTTTATTTAGCAAAAACAAGTTTTTTTCAGTTATACAAAAAATACACTATGAAAACTGAATTAGCCAATACAATATTGTGTAACTCTTATCCAATAACAGGAGTTGGTGAGCTTGACACAGACTTCAGTTGGGACAGACTTTACAGAATCTTCTACTCAAGACAACTGCCATAAGACACTGGAACAGCGACGAGGCAACAATGAAGATTGCTGGGATTCTTTTTTTAGCTTCCATAATTCAGCTGTCACAGCCAGCTAGGGACTCATTAGTAAAGCTGGTTAATAATGGATATGAAGAGGTCATTTTTGCAATAAGCCCCAAGACTCCTGAAAATCAAAAACTTATTGAAAATATAAAGGTATGTACTTTACTTTCTTTTTATTGCACAGTAATTATCAATATAGCTGGAAATGGAATAAATGTCAGCGCTGGCATATGAGCCATTGCTATTCTGAATGTAGTAATGACTATACAACATGACCCTCCAGTTGAAGTCTTACCCTCCACTTGAAATCTGCTTCCTAATCTAATGACTGAGGCTTCCACTTCTTCTGTCTAACCCCTAATTTTTAAAACGACTGCCATCTATCTAGGCTTATTACAGCTCATCTCTAGACCCAGCATTGTTAGTTTGTTCTTAAAATGGAGTTCCACTCAAAAGTGGAAGCTCCGCTTATTTGCCTCTCCCCCTTCTCCACTGCCATATTTGGCACCTTTTTGGGGGAGCAGATACCTGTTTTTGACTGCCGGACCAATTAGGAGGCACAGCGCAACTCGCGCATGCGCAGTGAAGCCGCAAGCTGTCACAGCTTGGTGCCCACAGTAGAGATGCTGGCACCGTGGAGGAGAGAAGGGGAAAAGGGACAAATAAGGACACCTCTGGACTCCGGGACAGGTAAGTGTGTGTTTATTAAAAGCCAGCAGCTACAGTTTTTGTAGCTACTGACTTTTAATAAACACAAAAATGGCTGGAACTCCGCTTTAAGTTGATTTTCTTTGGTTTAAATAACATTAAGTATAACATGTTATACTTACCTTCTCTGTGCAATAGTTTTGCACAGAGCAGCCCCAAACCTCCTCTTCTTGGGTGCCCTGTCGGCACTCCTGACTCCTTTCCCCCACTGAGTGCCCACCATAGCAAGCCACTTACTCACCATGCTCCCACTCCCTTCTCACTGGCTGTGATTGACAGCAGTGGGAGCCAATAGCTCCCACTGCTGTGTCTGAGCCAACGAGGAGAGAGAGAGACAAGAGAGCCTCTACTCTACTCGCTGGGTCATAATCGGGCTCAGGCAGCTATAAGCAGGGGCTGCAGGGATAGCTGCATACGGAAGGTTTTTCTTACCGTAATGCAAAGAATGCATTAAGGTAAAAAACCTTCGCCTTTAGAAGCACTTTAACCTGTACTAATAAATTGTACACTTTTATTCTTATACTTGCAAAATGCTGCAGCCATATATTACACATTGCTCTGTTAAGATTTCCTTATAGCAATCCTGAAGGAAAATTGACTAATTAACCTCCTGCCAACCGCGCTATAGCCGAATGATGGCTACAGCACACTTGCCCAGTTCTGGGAGGGCATCATATGACATCTTTCCAGAACATGCCCTCCCATGCACCCCCCCGCCGGCGGTGCGCACCTAGTGATCTCCGTGATCGCTGTGGCCTTTTACCACGTGATCAGCTGTGTCCAATGACACATCAGATCATGGAGTAAATACAATTGCTGGTTATCGGCAGCACTTTCCATAACCGGCAATTGTCATAGAACAGATCGGCACTGATCATCAGGGCACTGATGATCGGTGCCCTGATGATCGGTGCCCAGCAACGCTGCCCAGCAGTGCCACCCAGCAGTGTCTCCTACCACTGCCCAGCAGTACCCCCCAGCAGTGCCACTCATCAGTGCTGCCCAGCAGTTGTGCCCATCATTGCCCAGCAGTGCCGCCCATCAGTGCTGCCAGCCAGTGCCCAGCAGTGTTGCCAGTCATTGCCACCAGTCAGCACCGCCCGACAATGTCACCCATCAGTGGCTCTTTTTTCATTTATAGTGCAAAAAATAAAACACCCAGTGGCGATTAAATACTACCAAAAGAAAGCTCTATTTGTGTGAAAAAAATTATAAAAATTTAATATCGGTACAATGCTGCATGAGTACGCAATTGTTATTCAAATGCGACAGCGCTGAAAGCTGAAAATTGGCCTGGGCACGAAGGGGGTAAAAGTGCCCGGTAGGCAGGTGGTTAATGAAAATTGGAGCTAAGTGTGAATGTTATAATTGAGACCAGTTAAGTTCTTTTTTATTCTTTGTGGAAATTAACAGTGATCTGACTGGATGCTAGCGGCAGAATCCCATTGCTTTGCTTAAGTTTTATTTGCCCCCTATGTATACAGGGCCCATGGATAACTGAATCCCATTCTTTTCTTTTCTTTTCTTATCAAGATCATTGACCCATTTTATTATTGCAAATGAGCTTTTGGTCATCTCAGGAGCAATTACATGGAATTATGACTGAGAAAAGATAACATAGGATTAATGCTTTATGTATTTATGTTAACAAACTCTTTGTACTTATGATATTGCTTTGTGTTTGGTTTGTTCACAGAAAATGGTGGCTGAAGGATCTAACTACCTATTTCAAGCAACAGGAAATAGGCTGTATTATAAAAGTGTTAAGATTTTAATTCCAAATACTTGGACAGCCAACAGCACTTATAGCAGGCCTAAAAGAGAGTCATATGACAAGGTAAGTTTGTAGACATAATGGTATAGATCATGGCATTGTTTAGAAAGTTTTTTCAACTGCTTTGGCCTTCTAAAAAGGCATGAGAACATGACTGGCCAGAAGTTGGTCACTCACGTTACAATCTGACTGTACAGTCTCCTTTAGATCTACCAACAGCTAAGTAAGTGCAATGACCTAGTCAACTGGTTAAACATTAAACAAAAAGGTCCAATGCAGAATTTGATTGGGAGAAGAAGGGGTAACCCCCAGAGTCAAACCACCATTGTGGTACTCTACTCCAACACTCTGACTAGACAAGATTCCTCTTCAAAATTGCAGAAGATGAGAGCAATTTGTATGTTTCCATATCTATTATAAAAAGATTATCCAGACTGACATATTTCTTGGCACAGGTACCGTATTTTTCGCTCCATAAGACGCACTTTTTTCCCCCCCAAAAAGGGGGAAAATGTCAGTGCGTCTTATGGAGTGAATATAAAGTGGCCGGTCCGGTATTTCTGCCGCCACCATGTCAGAATACCGGGCCGGCCGCTCAGCTGTTCTCTCCTGCAGGGCCTTACCTGTTCCTCGCTCCAGCGCTGCACAGTCTTCCCGCGCTGGCTTCTGTGACAGCCGGGTGCCCACTGCGCATGTGCTGCGCTTTGTGAATGATCCGGTGTCTTCTGGGACACATGACAGGTCCCAGAAGACGCCCGGCCATTCACAAAGCGCAGCGCTTCTCGCGCATGCGCAGTGGGCACCCGGCTGTCACAGAAGCCGGCCCGGGAAGAAGGAAGGAAGAACAACTCCGCGGAAGTGGGAGCGGGTACCTGTCAAATTCAGGTACCCGCTCCCCCTCCCTCCCTAAAGGTCAGCAGTCTCTGGTCATTTCCTGCACTGTCTGCTGTCTCTGGTCATCCCCTGCACTGTCTGCAGTCTCTGGTCATTCCCTGCACTGTCTGCAGTCTCTGGTCATTCCCTGCACTGTCTGCAGTCTCTGGTCATTCCCTGCACTGTCTGCAGTCTCTGGTCATTCCCTGCACTGTCTGCAGTCTCTGGTCATTCCCTGTCCGCAGTCTATGGTCATCTCCTGTACTGTGTCTGCAGTCTCTGGTCATCTCCTGTACTGTCCGCAGTCTCTGGTCATCTCCTGTACTGTGTCCGCAGTCTCTGGTCATCTCCTGTACTGTGTCCACAGTCTCTGGTCATCCCCTGTACTGTGTCTGCAGTCCATTGGTTCAGAATATTTTTTTTTCTTGTTTTTCCCCTCTAAAACCTAGGTGCGTCTTATGGTCAGGTGCGTCTTATGGAGCGAAAAATACGGTATTTCCTTTAAATTGACCTTTATTAAACCACCATACTTACCTCTACACTGTACAGCAAGCACTCTCCAGTACCCATACCTTACGGCTCCTATTTCAATCCCTTGCTGGGATTTATGCAAACATCAAATTTTCCACCAAATCGACTACTGTACTCTGCTACGAACCCCCCATCCCTCCATGTGAAGGACCTAGGTCTGGCAATTGGCCTTCCAGGCAACAAGCAGGAGGGCAGAGGAGCATTTCCAGCAGTGCATAGGAAGTATTTAGAGCAGAAGATAGCAGACAAGAGTGGTCAGTATAAGCACCAGAGCATGCTTGCTGTATAATGGTCAATTTTATTCACTTACTCAACACTCTTGTTATAAAGACAATTAAGAGGCCAGCAGAGGACAGGTTGAAGAAGGTAAAACAGAAGTAAATGACTGACTCAATTTTATGTGAAAACTATGTGATCCACATATACAAAGATAGTATTTTCTACTGAAAATTCCTTTATACTTAACAAGGAGCTTCAGCTATTCTGATTTTTACCCTCTTTTTTCTTTAGGCTATTATCATAGCTGATCCTTTTATTCAAGGAGATTTTCCATATACCTTGCAATATTTTGGTTGTGGTTCTGATTTTTACCCTCTTTTTTCTTTAGGCTGATATTATCATAGCTGATCCTTTTACTCAAGGAGATTTTCCATATACCTTGCAATATGGTGGTTGTGGGGAGCCTGGAAAATACATACACCTCACCCCCAATTTCATTCTAAATGACAGAGTGCTGCGACTATATGGTCCCAGAGGTAAGGCAAGCTCTAGGCGCAGGCATAAGCTCTATAGATATGTATGAATGTTTTAAAAAGCCTTGTTTTAGTTTTTCATTTGTAATTATCTATGATTATGTTATATATTTGTAAATATATATATATATATATATATAGCAAATAGACAGCCATATACAGTGCCCCTGTACATTGCAGTCCCCTGTATATCACAGTGCCCCTTTATCTTACAGTGCGGAGGACTGACTCCATGAATATTCCATCACCAACTGTCCCCACGAATGCCCTTGCCCCCCCCCCCCCCAGAAATTGGCTGCTCAGTCTAAAATGCCTGGGCCTATTTTTTGTCCCAGTCTGGGCCTGCTATTGAGTATCTGTGGGGCATCCTCAAATGGAAGGTGGAGGAGCACAGGGTCTCTAACATCCACCAGCTCTGTGATGTCATCATGGAGGAGTGAAAGAGGACTCCAGTGGCAACCTGTGAAGCTCTTAACCCAAGAGGGTTAAGGCAGTGCTGGAAAATAATGGTGGCCACACAAAATATTGATACTTTTGGACATTTTCACTTAGGGGTGTACTCACTTTTGTTGCCAGCGGTTTAGATATTAATGTCTGTGTGTTGAGTTATTTTGAGGGGACAGCAAATTTACACTGTTATACAAGCTGTACACTCACTACTTTACATTGTAGCAAAGTGTCATTTCTTCAGTGTTGTCCCATGAAAAGATATAATAAAATATTTACAAAAATGTGAGGGGTGGACTCTCTTCTGTGAGATACTGTATATATATGTGTGTGTGTGTGTGTGTGTGTGTGTGTGTGTGTGTGTGTGTGTGTGTGTGTGTGTGTGGGGAGGGGGGGACTATATTTTGTATTACATACTTATGCTGGCCATATATTGTTAAAATTTCAGCCAGTTACTGATAAAGTTTGTTACTCTATGTTGGCCGCCTCCCGGCTGGGATCCTTTGGCTGCAAAGTCCCAGAAGTCAGTTGGAAACTATTCTGACATTGGGACTCTCCGATTGGTTGCAACCGCTGATTGGCAAAGCTTTTCAACATTCCTGTTTGACAGAAGTCAATAAAAATATTGCTTTCTGGCAAACAGGGAAGGACACACAAGATCTGAAATTGACCAGTCCCTGCTGAACCAGTCTCATTTCGATCCCTCAATGGCAAACATATTCACCGGCACTTGACCAGGAGTCACAGTCTATTCCAGGACTGGCGGTGTTTCTATCCTCTACTGAATCTTTGGACAGCATGGGATGGTGCATACGCAGCTTTTAATTCATAGCCTCTAAAGGTGTATTGGTAGCAGCAATGGAAAGTGCATTAGGCAGCAGCATTATAGACAGAGCAGTACAACAACTGATTAATAACTGGATGCAATGCTGGTTTGTTTAAATGGAGGGCGCCATAAAAATGTAATTGTGTCATCTTTTTCTGCAGGAAGAGTGTTAGTCCATGAATGGGCTCACCTGAGATGGGGTGTTTTTGATGAATACAACAATGATATCCCCTGGTATCTCAGTAAAAAAGGCAAAGTGGAGGCAACCAGGTAAATCCCCCTTTGTTATACTTAAAGCGTTACTAAACCCACAACAGTAAAATCAGTCTGTATATGCAGTAAAGAATGCTTGTTATACTCACTGTGGAACCTAAGGGGTTAATCCTCTGCATTGTGTAAAAACTTTTGTTGCCAGCGGTTTAGACATTAATGGCTGTGTGTTGAGTTATTTTGAGGGGACAGTAAATTTACACTGTTATACAAGCTGTACACTCACTACGTCACATTGTAGCAAAGTGTAATTTCTTCAGTGTTGTCACATGAAAAGATATAATAAAATATTTACCAAAATGTGAAGGGTGTACTCACTTGTGTGAGATACTATATATCCTGTACCACAGGGGCGGGCTGACCATTTGGAAACTCGGGCACTGCCCGAGGGCCCGGGGTCAGTAGGGGGCCCCATGAGATGCCCCTGGTACCTTTTTCATAGGCTTTTTTGAGTTTGGGCAAGGACACAGGGGCCCCATGATCCCCTATTGCCCGGGGGCCCCATGAGTTGTCAGTCCGCCCCTGCTGTACCATAATACATATCCAGTCGCCATTAGATAAAATTCTGTAGCCTTAAGCTGGCCATAGATGGTTTGAATGAACTTGATCAATTGATCAACTTGGGTACAATCAGCCTGTCGGATTTTACATGTGATTATTTCTAGTGGCTACTATAGTCGCTAACAGTAAGAACTATGTTCCCAGAAACACATTGGGGCTCATTTTGCTAAAACTGGAGAGTACACAATCTGGTACAGCTCTGCATGGTAGCCAATCAGCTTCTAACTTCAGCTTGTTCAATTAAGCTTTGACAAAAAAACCTGAAAGCTGTTTGGTTTCTGTGCAGAGCTGCACCAGATTTTGCACTCTCCAGTTTTAGTAAATCAACTCCAATGGCTCCACAGGAGGGATTTCAGTGTTGATGGGGCAATGAATCAATGTTGATGGGGCTACTGAGCGATTTTCCACGGGTTTGTGGAAAAGAAAATCGCTCCATCTATGGGCAGCTTTACAAATGTTTGCATAAGGTGACAAACAATAAAAATTAATATGAATACATTAAAAAATATATTTGATCATATACTGTATAATATGCAAAATATCTGCTCTGTTTTGTTTCAGATGTCCTTTGAGTCTGGGTGGTTTAGCTAAAATTGATATTGATGATGGACTAAAGCAAACAAAAGTAGACTGTGAAATTGACTCAACCACTGGGCTCTTTGAAGATGGTTGCGAGTTCTACCCTAATGTGGACCGCAATGTCCAAGAATCTATTATGTATGGACAAGCTCTGGATCCTGTAAGCCTAAGAGCAAGATCTGTCTCTAGAAATATTCCATGTTGAAATCTTCTTGTTTCTGTGTTACTTAGACATCCACCAATTAGGTCACGTATATATAAAATGGTTCTGTTCATTACTTAAAGCGGCATCAAAGCCAATCAAATGTAATATTCATGTATATAATGTATTATGCGGCCTACACTCTGGATGAAGAAACTACAGAGACACCCTGCAACATCAGCATTGTCAGTCTGAGGGGAGGGTAGTGTTAGACACAGTAGCAGATTTAGATACACTAACAAATTGAAAGCACACTCTAGCTCACACTTTTTAAGCAGTTACAGCAAACCTTTTTTTTTTGGAAGGGGGGGGATAAAGGTGTTTTATATAAATAAATAAAAAACTGACCATTGTGTTAAATGGTTTGTCTGAACCCTCAATTTCTACATCAACTGGACAGGCTACATCACCAGGTGAAAATAAAATAAAGAAAGCCTTAAAAGGAAACTAATTCAGCCATCACATGTCTGAATTGGCAAGCTGCAATATAATAAATGTTTTCTTTTGGGTTTAATACTGCTTTAAATTACAGGAATGCCAATAATTACCTTTTTAAGAATATTGGCGATCTGTGCTTTTAGTACTTTGAAATTCTGACCTGGAACAGACATGCAAATCAGGAAAATCAAAATAAAGTCAGAGAATCAGATTTGCATACATATAAGTACTTAAAGTGATATTAAAGCCAATTTTTTCAAAATAACAAACATGTTATACTTTACCTGCTCTGTGCAATGGTTTTGCACGGAGTAGCCCTGATCCTCCTCTTCTCGGGTCCCCCGCTGGCACTCCTGATCCCTCCCTCCTGTCAAGTGCCCCCATAGCAAGCAGCTTGCTATGGGGCACCCGAGCAGGCTTGCTTCCGAGCTGCTGCTCTCTGTGTGTGCTCAGTCCTGCCCCCCGCTCTCTCCTCATTGGCTCACTAGCTGTGACTGACAGCAGCAGAAGCCAGAGCCTCCTACTACTGTCTCAGCCAATGAGGGGAAAAAGTCCCCAGAGAGCACATCGCTGAATCTAGATGGGGCTCAGGTAAATATTGGGGGGTCTGCTGCACACAGACGATTTTTACCTTCATGCATGGAATGCACGAAAGTAATAATAAACCTTGAGCCTTTACAACCACTTTAAAGATTGGATCACTGTGACAACTACAGAACTTGCACTTTTAGATGGAGATGTCAGCAATGACAGCCTATGTAATTCTTTTAGGGTCCATTCACATCTATGCATTGCAGTAATGCATGTTACTCCAAATTGCACCTAAGGACTGCTCTATATGTGGAGTATTTATTTATTTATTTATTACAGGTACTTATATAGCGCCATCAATTTACGCAGCTCTTTACATATACAGTTGTGTTCAAAATAATAGCAGTCAGACATCACTAACCTGATCAATCACTGTTTTTGGTAGAAATGATATTTCTACATAGCAAATAATTTACTAGCAGGTGTAGTAGAGTAATAGAAATCCAACAGACCCAACAGTCATGACATGCATGCTGCTGATTCTGTGTAATTGAATCGCTAATTGAAAGGGACATGTTCAAAATAATAGCAGTGTGGAGTTCTATTAGTGAGGTCATTCATTCTTTGAAAAGCAGGTGGCAATTATTGCCCTTATTTAAGGAAGGAAGGCAGCAAATATTGTACATGCTGGTTACAGTGCATTTCTCTCTGAAATTCTGAGGAAAATGGGTCGTTCCAGACATTGTTCAGAAGAACAGCAAATCTTGAATAAAAAGATTGATTGGAGAGGGGAAAACATATAAAGAAGTGCAGAAAATGATAGGCTGCTCAGCTAAAATTATCGCAAATGCTTTAAAATGGCAACCAAAACCTGAAAGACGTGGAAGAAAGCGAAAAACTACCATTCGAATGGATAGAAGAATAGCCAAAATGGCAAGGACTCAGCCAACAATCAGCTCCAGGAAGACCAAAGAAGGTCTAAAGTTACCTGTGAGTAACACAGGCGCAAGGAGAACATGCTCACTCCAGGCAGGTGGTGCTGTGGTTGGGATTTGAACCAACGACCTGAGTACTGCCAGGCGGAAGTACTAACCATTCAGCCACTGTGCTGTATAGGTGTACAATCTAATGTCCCTAACTTACATTCATACATACATATACTAAAGCCAATTTGGACAGGAGCAAATGAACCTACCAGCATGTCTTGCTATCATGTTACTTTGATAACAGCGATAGTTCATAATATAATTAGTAGATTCTTATTTTGGTTCTAATCTAACAACAATTTATTTTTAAGAATTTGTGAATTCGGTCCCATACCCTCATTAAATAGTTCCCTTATCCCAAGGGCTATGGGTACCCTTCAGATAGGAACCATTAATCTAGATCTCATGCAGTACCAACCATATCTCCTAGTTTGTTTTACTTATAGAAGGTGACTAGCCAGTGTTGCTCATCAACTAAATATCTTTTCTTTTTAAGGTGAATGCATTCTGCAAAGAAAACTCCCACAACAAAGAAGCACCAAATGAACAAAACAGATTATGCAACCACCAAAGCACATGGGAAGTCATCATGAAATCCCCTGACCTGAAATCTACACAACCACTGGCAGATACCAATATCCCTACCCCTACCTTTTCTCTGCTGCAGTATAAAGACAGAGTGGTCACCTTAGTATTGGATGTTTCTGGAAGCATGAGTGGTGTAAGTACAGTTTTAAAGAAATGTAAATGGACATAAAGATTCCAGCAAATAAGTCATCTTTTAGAGTTCATTCACACCTTGCTATTCTTTTGTGTTGCATAAACATATGGTCTATTACACATTAACATGCATTACTTAAAGACAACCCATTCACTTTGAACAGTGTGCCAATGCACAAGAATGGAATAAAAAATGGACATACAGCATTTTTTTTGGCACAGCGCACTACAATACACTGTAAGGTGTAACCATGTGTTGTGGTGTGCTGCAATGCTTGAGTGCGTGGGGGTACCACAATGCACTAACATACATATCATCTGATAACGTGTTACCATGGAACACTATATCACAACCGCATTGCTGTGTCATTTTTCAAACTAATATATAGTAACACTTGCACTCACCCAATATAACAAATAAACAAAAAAAAAAAAAATTTAAAAAATAAATGACTGCAACTTAAAAAATAAACTTTGAACCAAAACTGTATTTAAATCTGAGATTCTTTTAGGAATGTCTGGGCTTTTAAAAACAAAAGGGGCTTTATGGCAACTTAAACGTGTAATAATTTTAACATTGCACCATTTATCCCTTCCTCTCCTCCCTGCCTGTCTCAAGTACCACACTCTGGGACTAGCAGGGAGGGGAAAGGACTTACAGTGTAATGAGCGCCGATTGGCTGCTCCTCAGGAAAGGGGAGAGTCCGGCTTATCCTTTATCCCTTTTGCTTCCAGAGCCATTTTTGCATTTTTTACACACCTTTAAAAAATAATTTCAGGCCTGAAGATTGCACAAAACACCCAAACATTATATATTTTGTGAAAGCAGAGACCCTAGGGAATAAAATAGTTGTTCCAATTTTTTTTTTTTGTAACATGATATCACCACTAAATTTTAGTAAAAAATATAAGTAAGTTAATTTTAGGGCACAAAAAAGTAATAAATTACCCTATTTTTTTGTAAAACATAAGAAAAGAGGTTGCACC